GTAACCATCTGACGTCATCCGCCTGTCCAACAAGCATTCAGTGGTGTAATCCCAACACGGCTACTAGAACAACATTGGTCGTCCTTTCGGTGGCTTTTTTTGCAAATACGTGGTTAAGCAAGCTTTGACAATGCTAAAATCACTTGATGATTAGTGCGTTGCAATTTTGAGTTGCGCTAGTGGAAATCAAAACACTTACTTCTTTTGGCATAAGTTAATTGTTTAAAGTATATTACGAGTATGTTGGTGTTCGTTGTTTACATCTATGTGACTTTGCGATGCGTTGGACTTGTTTCCATTTCAATTTTATTAGTTTTACTGCAAAGAACCAATTCATCGAAGTCCTCTTGTTTGAGCTAAAAGCATCAATTCGATCGTTTGAATCCAAATTGTTGGACTGGAGATTGTATTTGATCTTTCGAATGGTATATTCTTTGCTGGATTTATCCTTCGTATTCCTGGGACTTCCGAAAAAATGATAACAACGGCAACCAAGTCTTGTTTTACGACATCTTCATAGCTATAATCACCATTGAGAATCCAAAATGAGGATGGCCGTCTCAAAGAAGGGCTTTTAAGACACATCACGACAGGAGAAGATGAGAGCGAGATAACGAAGAGATAGCTAGTGTACCGGTATCCAGCATCAGACCAAGATTCGGTCAGCTACTCGTGTCTTGGAGGCTTGATGAACGAATCTCGAGTTCTACTTCCACTCCACCCTGTACCATCATATCACGATGACACGTTGCCTTCATGAAAAGAGAGTGGCTCTTGCATGGCGGTATGCATCAGACGAAGTGAAGTGAGAGCCCGTGTGTGAGTCAACACACCTGGTGATTATTCTGAACAGCCTGCCGTCGGAATATGGGCTGACTTTTTCACCGCGAAACAACCAAGAAAATCAAGCTAAAAGAAGTCAGAGAGAAGCTGTTGAAGCGATAGAAGTTGTGTTACGAGAAGTAAGCTTTTTTAGAAACCTTTTGCGCTACTAAAAACAACCGACGTCTCAAGGGCAGTTGGGGGATCGGCCGCAAGAGCTACTAGCCACGAATGAACTGTAGTTTTTAGGTAAAGTGCTATGCGTGTGACTAGATGGGCCACATTGAACGGGACTTGCCTGCCAGGAATAATTAAAGGAATCAATGCAGTAAAAGAGATGCACTATTTGCTGCGGGTGATGAACGATCGACCGGTTGCCTAATTGACACGCGACCTCGCACATACGTGCATTCGTTCTTACATTGCATATGTCGTCACCCGGCTGTCTCGTAAACTCGAGAATCCCGGGTTACAACATTGGAGCTCCATAACTCGTGTACTACGCTACTTCTAGTCAACTCGACATCAGGATATCATCTACAAGGTGGAATCGAAACGGTAGTGGTCGAAGATTGTGTAATGCAGACTGGCGCAGCAACACTGATGACAGAAGCCCTGTATTATGTGTTTTGATACATATAAGTAATGCATCGGTTTTCTCAAGTTCAAGTACCAGAAAGCCGTCGCACTGAGCTTTGCAGTAGCCAAGTATATGGCTCTTAGCTTAATAACACAAGTACTTTGGACGCGCGCATTGCTCGAGGGCGTGGGTCACGTACAATTGGAAGGCTCACAAGCATGGAAAGACAGCCAAGGGTGACAGCTTTGTCCCACACATATTCAAAGAACGTGGACATCGGGTACCACTTTGTTTGGGAGAACTTATAGCATGGAAAACAAAAGATCGACTACATCGATACGAAGAAGCAACTTGCATATATGCTGACTGAGGCACTCGTACCCAAGACGCTCAAGGCTCTGCGCGAGGAATCGGGTGACAAGACCAAGTCAGAGCAAAGTTGATAAATCTGGCGGTGGGCGGAGTGTTGGGATTGCACCGCTGAATGCTTGTTAATAACGTCGCAAAGGTTTCGGTAACGGTCACAGTATATTGATTACAGACATAATGCATTGGTCTACATAAGTCAAATTACAATCTGTAGGCGTAGAGGTAGCACAGAGAGGAATTTTTCATTAAAAAAATAATATTTTGAATTTGATATTTTCTCGACAACAATTATACGAGCATGATGACTCAAAATTGTCATCTTTATTTTAATCTATATTTTTACCATTTGGGATTGTGGGTGCAGAGCTAAATTTTCCCAAAAATCACATTAATTACAATTAATGTTTGCTCTATTCTGTGTAATATTTATCGCGTATAAAATTTTCTTTTCGAAAATTTACCTACTGATTATCACAACAAAGAAAAAATAACCTAAATTGCAATGAATAAATTCAATAACAAAATGCAAGACTCGTCCTAAGCAAAGACGGGATTTTCAGTCAAAGTCTCCATTTAAAGAGCAGCGATAGCCATATCGCTAGTTTGCGTGTGCTGCATGATGCTTCGAAACTTCAATGTTTTCTGAGCCAGGCGCGCATTGTTGCTGAAAACATCGGAGGACGTGGCTGTGCTTATTAGCTCGGCAACTCGTGCTTTAACCTCTTCAACAAAAGCAAGGTCCAAAAACTGTACGCCTTCAGAGCTCAGCATGAATTGAAGACCTGATCGCAGGGGTAACACCGTCTTGGTTGTTGGACGTGTTTGGACTTCAGCTGCCTTGGACGAATAGAGGGGGCACAAGGATTCAAGTACAGGAGACGCTAGGAACGGAGTATCAGTTCCAGTTGGTGGCATAAAGAAAGCTTCAGAAGGATTGATAATGCGGCACATCGTGACCGAGGGCTTTCAATCGAGAGCCCTTTGTTACTGTAGGTGAAAGTGTCAGAATCGAAGAAAAGTGGAAATGACGGAGTGTGGCAGGAGGCCGAGTAAATTCTAATTGGACGAGACTTTCCGCCCAGAACATGTGAAACCACTTTCCGCTGGCTTACCCTTTTGCATACTTAAATAAAGCATAAATATCTAGATCAAACGGCTTTCAACGGTGAACCCATGCTAATGACAGAGCGAATGACTACAACAACAAAATTCTTTGAAGTGTATTGTCCAAATAAGCCCTAACAATGGAGTTTAGACGTATCAGCACACTCCACGAATGATTCTAACGCTCCATGCTCAAGGATTTGAGTAACTGTCAGACGCTTCTGCGGGTCGGTCTGCAACATACCGGACAGTAGCTGTAGAGCGCTTGCTGACATGGTCGACGCGACCCCCCAAGCCTGAAGAACTGGCTTGATACCTACTTGTTGTACTATTCGGAACGACTTGACGGACGATGATGCTAGTGGTACAAGTGGCGAACCTGTAAGCATTATGAATATGACGATCCCGAGCGACCAAATATCAGCCACCTTTGGATCGTACGTCTTGCCTGCAACAATCTCGGGTGCCATGTAGTATTTCTTTCCCACTTGACAACCACTAGCACTAGCAGCATATGTAGCGAGCCCAAAATCACCCAGTTTAATCTGTCCTTGATGTAGCATTATGTTTTCGAGTGAAATATCACGATGTGCGATTCCGTGTTTGTGTAGAAATGCTAACCCTGTTGAAATTTGAAATAGCACATGTAGTGCATTCGAACACGCCATGGTTCGTTGTTTTTGTCTACTAAGATAGTTGTACAAATCGCCATCTGCACAATATTCCATCACGAGCGAAAGCGTTTGTCGTTCAATAAATGAGTCTTTGTACTGTACAAGATTTGGATGTCCCCCGGCTGTTCGTATGATTTCTCCAATCTCTTTCTCAACAAATGGGTTGTCAACAAGATGATTATTCAACGAAAATTCTTTCATAGTTCTAGCCAGACGCTCAAGTGATACTTGTTTGACGACGACAGGAGGCAAGAGTGCCGGACTCGGCTTGACTTTACAATCATTTATTGTGTCTTCGCAAGCAACAATGCACCCGTACATTGTGACGCCGAGATCTCGAGTGACTTGGTATCGTTCGTGAAGTATTTGCATGACAATTGCTGTGATGGCAACGATTGAAATGAGGATCTGAAACAACATTGAATGGTGGGCCCGAAGCGAGCGATGAAATTTCTTGTTTCAACATCTGCGTATAGAAATTGTTTCAACTTGTGTAGTCACAGGCTCTGAGCTAATTGTAGTTTTGGCGTCGTCAGGTCTTATCTTCTTGATACTGTAAGTTGACGTATGAGATCACACAATACAATTCGAATTAGATCATGCTCGTCACGGGTTAGAGATAAAGATGTATCATCGCACGATACCGTTAATGCAGCTCAGTGCAAGAAGATACAAGAAAAAGTAAAATGAATCAGATCGCGTTCGTCACGGGTTAGAGATCTACAATTTTACGCTACCGTTGATTACAGCTCAGTGAAAGAAGGTACGAGGAAGAGTAGAGAAGGATGTCCATTTTACTGACACGGCAATCGTTAACAGCTTTCAAATTCGTGACCATCCTAGCCAGCTACATTTTTGTCCAGGAAGATGAGTCGTAGAGCTATTACCTTCAAGCCATAGGATAACATGTATATGATATCATTTCAAAAATGTCACGACATTGTTCAATGATATTACGAATTAAAAATGCATGGATATTAATCACCATATAACACGAAATCAAATTCCAACGCCATTGAGTTTATTTGAGGACGTAGGTTGGTAACTCATCAACCTCGGTTAGTCGATACTTAATTCTTTCTCAGAGCGTGCGAAATATTCGTCTGCTTCAGACTTTGCAGACTACTCGTAATTTATTGGCAGCCGTTGAAAATTCTACAGCTTTCGATTTAAGATTACATTTACATAAAGATATTGGATGCGCCGGATCTCTCGGTTATAAATTGGCCGTCAAAATAGAGCGACAGTAAATCGTCGAAAGCTTCGCTGGTAATCAAACCTAACCTTTGGTCTAGTATTGAAAATTTGAAAATATGCTCAGATCAGTAGTGTAAGAATGATATGCTTGAGCATGGAAAGTAAAGATACTTTGAGGAGCATGAGAAAAGGATAAGGGAGCCATGTGTGTCTGCGAGGAGATCTGTAAGTATGACTAACGCTATGAAACTGATGCACGTCAAGAAAGACAAATCAAAGTTGAGGTGATGATGGAACTTACTCGACGTTCCTCAACAAATGAAATCATGACAGGGGAAGCCAAGCCACTGAGGCAATGATTGCCTTTTATATAGCGATGATAAGAAAATATCCTGTGACCGTCTCTTTGAGGTCACATACACCGCCACAGTTTTGTGTGCACAGTTAAGATTTTTTCTCACGCGTTTCAAGTCAACCTGTTCACGAAAGGTCAATGCGCTTCATTTTCAACGCTGTTCCAACTACTGTCTACAGTAATAAGCCGTCCAACTCAATCTGCAATATATTTGAACATTTTCCACTTGACGTATTCGTACTTTAAAATACAGCTTGGAGGACCACCGCATCTGGATCAAGAAAACTAGAACTAAATACGCCGATTAATTGTTGTCGTATAAAGATATGAAGATCGTGGACAATTCATTAAAGGTCCGTGTCGAAAGATGACAAGCGGCATAAAGAATGGAATCATGCCATAAAAAGTAAGTGTATTGATTATTACTAACGCAACTCAGAATCACATTGCTCTCGTCATGCACTTACCATCGAGTGCTTTCGACTTTATCGGAGCTTGCTTCACCACGTATTAGCAAAAGAAAAAGCCACCGAAAGGACGACCAAATAGGCAGGTTGGACCATAGATGGGACGACCGATTGTATTCCAGTAGCCGAGAGGATACCGCCATCCAAAGCGAAAGCCACCAGCATATGGAAATCGGAAGCGGTGACGGAAAAATCGACCACGGCCTCCTACGAAATGTTCCTTGTTCGTTTCAGGAATTGGATCCTCGTCACCAATGAGTATCGCTCCGGCCGGAAGTTGTTCTACATTGTTTGAAGCCTCATCTTGAGCTTGAGCACAATTAAGAACAGCGAGAAACATAAAGAGTAGCGCAAGAATGGAGTGCTTCATCATCTTGATAATGAGGGGTGCTGTTTTTTTAAGCCACTTGTGAATTGGAACGTAAAACAGCGAATGAGTAGGAAAAGAAACTCCAAACCAGTTGCTGTCGTCAAACTTCTATCAAGATCATCACATTCTTTCTGGGCAATTACTGGAATAATCGTAGAATTTAGTCGAACTGATACTTTGATCTCGATGTGATCATAACTCAAACTTGAGTTTGAATTCGTTATGTTCTTAAACATACACTTAACGACAAGTGCGAAAAGTAGTAATAATCAGTATTATTACGAAACTGATTTTTCTAAGATCGGATTTTTTCATTTACTTCATCGGGTGATTCAACCGCCATGCTTTTTTGCAGAATACTTGTAAATGTAAATGTACTACGGACAAGCTCAGTGGAAATCAAGTACAATCTCGCTGCTGAAAACTTTCTCCGTCTATATATCAAAACAATAAAGAGGAGAAGCCAACATTCATCGTGTAAATATATTTAAACCCCACATCAGATCGATTATATTACTTAAAGTTCATAATCGCATCAAGTGCTTTTTCAATATTATTTAGGTCGCTCGAGACAGAGAGAGAGCCCGTTATTTCTCTCTGTATTAACTTTGACACACCAAAAATGTCAATCAGCCTCTGCAACAACGAAAGCAGTCGAACTTCACTAAAATTATCATCGTGTAGAATTACTGAAATGTCGAATGCAAGCGAGTCGGCCATACTACGTGTCCAAAGGGGTAATTGTTCAATTGTAGCTCCAAGTTCATTCTGACACAGGATATATTTTTCATTCAGATTAGACGCAGCACGAGAGGTTAAGCTTATGGGTACAGATGTCTCAGTATATGAGCGGCCACGAAAACTAGAAACGATTGAGTCTGGACTCTTAAGTCTCATGCATGTTGAAAAAAATTGCCATGCCTCAGCTGCCTCCATAAACGAATTGAAAGTGACTGCGCCATCGCCGCGAGTGTAAGCATTTCGATACAACATAGCGACTAACCAGGACGGAACCTCGTCGTTTAATGTGTGTACCATAGCATAAAACTGTTCCATATCCATTGACGTTTGAGAAATGTTTGACATTGTGGATATCCCCGTTTCAGCAGTGGAATCTGATGTCGCTACTGCTGTTGACGTGGCTGCTTGAAACATAAGGCGAATAGCTGCACGACGATGCGCTTGCTCTTCTTTGTATTCATGCATCATGAGATCAATCCACAAATGCGCGTCTATAAATCCAGGTGATTCGTGCGATTGTGTATCCTCAACCAAATTTTCAAAATGCTCTAATGACTTCGTAAGCTCGTCCTTTACCTCCATCGGAGGCTTAATGTATATATCTAGTCTTTCGTCTTCAGGGACATCCTTTACTTCATGCTCAGTCATTTTACTGAAAAGAACATTTCGCTCAAATTCTGTTGCTCTGGAAAGGACGATACTAGTCGCAAGTGATGCATGTTTCAATGGTATCCAAATCTTCTTTGGTACTCGCACTCGAGATGCTGGACCTTTCGTTTGATCAGTACCAAGTAAAAGATCATATTGTTGCGAAAAGATTTGGTAAGAAGCCTTCTCTCTTAATGGACCCCAATTCAACTGTCCTTCTGATGTGATGTCCAAAACATGGTAACAATAAAGCATAAACACGTGTTCATCTTCTCCATCTCTCTCGTCAAGAAGGGATAAAAATAATTTTGCTTCCAGATACCCTTGTTTTACAAGAGCTTTAACACCATAGTAAAGACACCATCGATCCTCATTCGCTTGCATTTGTATATTCGCATGACTTGTGTCCCACTCGGCACGTTTGCTAGTAGCTTTTTCGGTTTTCAATGACCGCCACGGTGAGAACCACGCATATACAAACTCCGGCATACGAATTCGTAATGGAAACAACCCCGCAGTATGTTTACACATGAGGTTGTCTAGCTGCTTCGCATAAATGATGGATCGCATGCAACTGAGCGTCCAGGAAACATCGCGTTGTGGACGATAGCCGTTTAAATTAGGTAGTAAAACACGATAATAGAGGCACTGGATGCGTCTCTCATTCGATGGCTTGTGGGTCTCAGTCTTGTACGTCGAAGCCACATCAACATTGTCTACTCTATCGACAGAACCTTTATTCGCGTCACCGATACATAACGATTGCTTGCACTGTAAGCATAGTCTACTTATTGAAGGCTCCAAGTCGTTTGCTACCAAATAAGCATTTCGCTCCTCTTCTTCTGCTTCCTCTGCTTGTCTTCGCACTTCTTCTTCCCGAAAAAGTTTTATCTCCTTAGCTGCTATCAAGTTACTGTTCTGTTCCATTAAAGATGCTATCACGCTATCTTTTGTACTCACTAAATTGTTCAGATCGGTCAGTTTGTCCCTCAAAGCATCTCGATCTCGAGTAAGTTCCTCCAATTTGCTTTCAAGCTGCTGTTTTTCTTGTACGACTGGGCGCAGCTGTATCGTCTCCTTGTGACATCGTTCATACTTATGCTCAAGCTTGTTATATTTTTCGTGCAACTCCATGGCTTTAACGTTTTCCGTATCTTCTCGCATTTGACGAAAAATCGCATTTAGAGTCTTCATGGTATCGCTCATCTTCATCATTTGCTCCTTCAAATCAATCACTTGTTGTTCCAAGTCCCTCTTTTCGCTCTCAAAAGCCGTTTGTAGCTTGTTCATCTCAGCATCATTACGCTTTTGTATCTTCTGTACATTTTCTTCATGCACCTCATCAATTCGATGTACTTGAAGCCTGAGATCTTCCACTTGTTTCTTCTCTTGCAAGAATAGATTCCACTGGAGCTTGTATATGTTTTCAAGCTCAAAAAATGTCTTAGCATACACCATGCGAGCTTTACCAAGAACGACGCCTTGTTCAAGAAATGAGTTTGTCAGCATGGACTCAAGCTCGCCAATGATCAAATCCGACCACTTTTGCTCAAACAAAACCTTCGCGAGCTTTTTGCAGCTATCAGATGAAGTTTCACCAGCTTCCACGCTGTATCGTTGTTTTATATGAGCATAAATTGCCATATAATCCTGATCAAGCATGGACAATTTCTCTTCACTCGCAATATCAATATGCTCGTTCTTGTCGATAAACTGAATAGCTGTATCGAAACATTGCTCCAGATCGAGTAGATCCACTCTTCGACATGGGCGATCGACACAAGTGACGTCTGTCTTTTCCATACCTCGAGTTCCCAAGCCCCGCTCACCAAAGCCAGGGATATATAACCACGTCTTATTCTGATTTTGAGTCGCGTGAAGGCTCCTACTAGACATTTTTTCGATGGAATAATAACGCGAACCTGATGCATCGCCTTCTTCCGAATGCTGCCTTGATTGTAATTTTCGAAATTTGGTGCTTGCAACACGAGGAAGTTTACTCGTAGACTTTGATGAACCAATCTTCGACTGGGGTAACAAACTATGCTCTAAATTTTTTGAACGATCAATGGCTACCTTTTGTTCACCTAATGGGGCAATTTGGAACAAAGAGCTTCTGTGCAAAGGTTGAGAACCCTTTTGATTCAACAGAAACGCTTTCACATCGAATTCCCTTTCCGTTTCAACTTGATTATTGCGAGTAGAATACGCCTCGGTAGTCGATACAGGTTGACAATCTTGTGCATTTGATGAGGCTGATGAGTTGATGTGGAACACTGCACCTCCTAAGACTGAAAATGCCCCATGTGGGGGTTTTGTGGTAAGATACTTGCTGGACTTGCGAGAGCTTCGTATTCCATCCATGACCAAACATGCAAAGTGCGTTACGGGTAAAAATAAAGCAGAAGTATTCCCGAAAAATATATGCGGCAGTCAACAGACTGTCATTTTTATGGTAAGGTAGAATATGACATAAAAAACTTTTCTTCAGGGATTTTCTGGTTCTTCTTGTTTGAAAAATCATATCATCCATCTTCCTTGAAAATGCATTCTTCCGCGGTTTGTATTGCATGTGCCCACTCATAAAAGGTAAAATGACATCGCCAATTTTACGAGCTGTATGTTCCTATTATTAACTGTCCGTTCGAATGTACAGTGTCGAATATTATAAAGCGGTCGGTATCCCAATCATGACTTTGCAAATGTTTTAATTACGACAGCTTGGTCGTGTTCTTGAATTAGCATCTAACCGTTTTTGGTGGTTCAAAGTCGCCCGACAAGGCTGCTTTGACAATCAAGACAGCAGTCCTAATATTAATGCTACTCTCTAAAGGACTACAATCTTATGATTGCAGTATACAGGAATTCGGTGTTACTTCATCCATTAATCTCCTGACTCATTTGAACCTCAGAAGATGGTCAGCATTATGCAGCCATTCATTATGCGTCCAAAAGTATCCCTGACAACAGTAAAAAATCGTGAAAAAGCTTGACACGCCTTAACTTGTTAAATTGAGCCGCTTGGGCTTTGCTACGTTGGATCCAAATCGATTTTTGTGACGCACTCCTCAGAGAAATAACTTTCATAACACTGATTATTCGGCAAAATGCCTAGCTACCCTATAATCCAGCAAAACCACGAAAAAAAACGTAGTCCATACAATTTCCAAGTATGCATGGGCCAAGTTGGAGATCGCACGTCCAAGTTCCCCCGCGGCCGAAAATTGGGTTGGTTCTGGTGATGGTCTTGGGATTTATGGATTCTGTCTTCTTCTAAGAAGTCTAAATTTGGTTTTTTGCGGTAAATCATTCCGGATTGTCATCGGGAAATCGTTCAGCTAGGCAACGGTGATATGCGAGATCCCATCGAGAAGAACCACCGGTGGTATGCGAAAGCGAAATCCCATTGGAAAGAGCCACCTTAACGCTTACTGATGCCCTCAGGGGAAACGATAGTAGGCGGTTATGTAAGGCATACAGATTGCTAACGTTTGAAGTCTATCACACCAACCGGCTGCGCAAATTGCGACGATGATCGCGTGAACCCGTGGTCCCACTTGGACACAGTATTAAACCGGGCTCGACGAACTTGCACAGTAGGAGAAAACCTCCCACTAACCCCCAAGCCCCCAGCTCCAAAATAAAGTCCGAAAGGATTAAGGAGAGGTCTAAACTCAAAAACGTTTTGCCCGTTTGATAAACAGAGCGGCATACTCTTAATCTCTTTCAGTGAGAATGTACCCAATTTTCGACATGCGAAAAATGGATATGGGAAACGTTAAGGGTGGTCATGGCAATGCAGCCACTGTTAACACAAATTTGTCGTCACACAGTAGAAAGCCGTTAATGATGCATAGCCTCGGGACACAGTGGTGGCGCTTCAGAAAGATCGTTCTGTTAGCCTGCAGCTCTTGCAGACTGCGTCATTTATTGCTCAGAGATTAAGGTAGAAGATATTGATAGTATCGCTCAATGTGGAGCACTACGACGGCATTGACCGAGCTTAGACGTCCATAACAGTGGCATGAAAGTCGTGAAAGCGGATATCATTCCGATGTAGCCATATACACCAGAAAATCACTAATCAAATAATGTGAAAAACCACAAAGAGTCTATAGCCATAGCGGGCCTTGGCCGCCGGTTTAGGTTTAGATTCCAGCTTAAAAAATCAGACTGAGTCCCATGGGACTCCAAGTGCGCCAGGAAAAAAAAGGCGTAGAAACTGGTTATCCAGTCTGCCCAAACTTGTAGGAGAAAGTCACAGTACCAAAAAAAATGAGAGATCGTTTCTATGACCTCGCATCCATGGGGTCACATCGACTGAGCACTGGGTAGGTATTGAAGGCGACAGCCAGAGCCGTGAATCCTATTATTCACATCTAACTTTCGCCTCATACACGCTCGTGTATCTGAGACACCGTCACGTCCTCTAGAAGATCCTTGAACATTCTCCGCTCAATGTGCCCTGCGTCAATGACACAAAAACCACCCAGCCTAGCCGGATCCGAGGGCGTCCGGCGCCCGTGGGCAAAGCCCTTCTTCTTCTTCTGCACGGTGTGCATCTCCGGACAGCACGTCCGCGGCTTCACGGGAAGCACGTCCCAAGCAAGGCGCATTTGAGAATCAACTAGGTTCTCCGTAGTGTATGGAAATTGTGACAGGAAGATTCAAAGGCAACAAGTCAGGACAATTGTTAAAGTTGTAAAAGTCTTTGAGTAAAATAAACCGTTCAGGTAGAGTGCAACAAAATAATTCATCGATTACTCTGCCCTGACTAGTTTCCCATTTCTTATCTGCCATAAAGCAATTCTACTTACCCCGACAATTTGCATGACTTGGTGTTTATCATTCAATATCGACCAAAACTTTTTTTGCGAACTTCCGATCGTTCACCGTCGGCTAATGGATCTTGCTTTTACTTTGTGCATCGCTGAGGTATTATCTGATCGCGGACGTCGAAAATTTCAGTTAAAACGAACCACCAAAGACTGCACCCTTGCTATTGTCGGTCCACGCGTCACCCAATTTAATCAGCAGCTTTTTAATGTGTCCTTTCTATCGCTTCCGGTTTCTATTGGCAGCCTCACCTAATTGGGTTGGGCAGTCTTCAGTACCCGAAGAGTCAATTAAAAGCCCGTAGCTGACACAATGCTTAAATCATGTCGCTTTTAGCTCGACTTGAATTCACAACAACTATCCTTATCACCCTATACCTAATTTGAAAAAAGCGTCCGCTTAGTCATGTTTCTACGATGTGGCATGCACTATCGGCTTGTCGTGCTCTTTGTTTGAGCAAACAACTCGCAAGCATAGGGGTGTAAGGGCTTCATCCTGGCCCGGCGAGAAAATAAGATATAATAAATCCTTAATCTCGACGTGATCAAGTCTGCAATAGTCGTAGCGACTCTTCGTTGTAAACAGGCAAGCTTGGCTCCCTGAGCCAGGCACAGCTCATTGGAGATGAGCTAGACGTCATCGTGAGCTTCAAGGTAGAGTTTCGCAACGTGTTGATTGACGAAAACGCATTCAAAGTGCGCGATTCGCTTGGAGGATAGGTGGAGCTTAGAGAATATTTCTGTCCGTAAACGGTTCTGCCGTTTGCCTCTTGGTGGTGGCGCGGGGTCGGGACTCAGATAGTCGCTACGACCGTTTTCACCAAGATCACCGAATTGGACTGGCTTGATATCGTCGACCGCGAGGACCGGGTCAATCTTTAAGGCTTGTTGAGCCACTGAAAACACGTAAGAGAAAAGCTTACGGTGGAAAATGCTCATAGGAGCAGGTAATGTAGGGTTTAAAGCGATGGAGGTTTTCCTCCAGTATTCCTTCAAGGGCAATGGGTGCTCATTGAGCGTTACTTTTAAGCTAGTATGAGCTTGTAACGGAGTTACGCGTACTCTTGTAAGGAGGGTCGGGTCGGACAATCTTGTGCGACCGTACATAGGTGTGTAGTACACAGTGGTTGTAATCACACAGTGGTGTGGCTACACCGTAACAAGAAGCCACCACACGACAGGATTGCCAGCAGTAATGCATATTACTATATTGATTAGGTTTTGCTACATTATTTAGGTATTACTATATTATTTAAGAAGACCTAGAATTTAGATATTGACGGCTCTGCCGCAACTAAAACAATTAAATACAGTCTCCTTTTTTTACAGTTGCCTTGGTAAGGCTTTAGTACTTAGAAGTAGCGGATTGCGATCTGCTACACACTGGGTGGATGCGTATCCTTCTCGGAAAGTTCAGCGTATACGCTAGGCCTCGCTTGGCCACGGCCTTAAAATGTCCAATAAACCGTGGGCGTAAATTCATCTTAAAGACAGCAGAAACCGCATGTGTAGAAAGGTTTTTAGCACTTAATAAAACAAGGTATCTGACCTTAATGTTTTCGACATTTCTTCTTCCTTTTCCGTCAGCATATTTCTTCTGCATGTCTTCGCTTTCAGTCATCGCTTCGCGAACGTGTCATAAGACACTCAGTCTTGTAGACAGGAAGTATCCGATTTTTTTTCGCAGGGTGAGGGGGTAGACATCAGCTAGCCGTTCGGCTATCCTCCCCCACCAAGCCCTGAGCCATGGGATGGCGGCGTCAGCAGGAAGTGAGGATTAATAATTCCGTTCACGTAGAACGGCGTATAGCCGGTACACGAATGCACTGCATTATTCAGAGCAAACTCTACAAGTGGCAAGATAGCGCTTCAGCGCTTCGGCGTCTCAGCGCAGACGCTGAGGAGAACGTCTTCGACAACGCGATTCACGCGCTCAGTCTGACAATCGGTCTGTGGATAGTCCGCTGTTGAGATAGCCAACTTGATGCCCAGCACCCTCAAGAGTGTAGACCAAAACTTCCCAGTGAAGCGCAGTCTCTATCAGAGACATTTGACTCCGGAAGTCCATGCTGTTGAAAGACACGATCCACTAACAGCGTCGCTGTACCCACACCATCGTTGTGTCCGCTACCGTCGCAAGATGATTCATCTTGCTCAAACAGTCCACAGAGATCACCACACACGTGTTGCCTGCCGAGTCCTTCGACAGGCCAAACACAAAGTGTATACTCATGGACCGCCAGCACCCGAAGGATATCGGTAGACTGGCCAGCGGCGCCGCCGCATTCGAAGGAAATTCACCCTCCGACACGTCTCACACGTGCGCAAATATGTTCTCGTCCAATTGTACAGCTTGTGCCACCAATAGTGGCAACTCACCGAGCTGTACGTCTTCTCACGACCGAGATGACCATTCAGTGGGGTGTCGTTGGCCTCATAGTAAGTACGATATTTTAAATTCTCGTCGTGAGGAACTACAATTCGTGGCGTATCCGTTGAATTGGTGCTATAATACAGCTACCCGTCACTCAACGTATATGGGTGTAACCGTAGTCGCAAACGCGCCGACAATTTTCTTGTCCGAAATTCCAAATTCCGAGCTCCTTGCCCCCGAGAGCCTGTAGCGTATATTAATACCCGCGTATGAGGCGCGGATCAAATCCCTCATTGACGACGTCACTGTCGTGACATGAGCAAGCTCATAATCCGGTCTGCGTGTCAGCGCATCAGCCAAAACATTCAGCTTTTCTGGGTTATACTTTCACCCCGTATTTATATTCAGAATATGAGCCACCTGGCAATCCCCAGCGAGAGTGAGGCGATTGAGTCGCAGTGCGTAGTGACGCATGATGTGTGTAGATCACGAACGGCTTTGTGCCCAGCAGGTGCAGTCGAACTTGACAAGTGCATACTTCATCGCAAGTATAACCCTGTCGTGGACTAGGTAGTTCCTCTCCGCAGGCTTAAGCTGGCGGGATTCGAGCGCGATCACTCGGTCCCGCCCCTCGGCGTCTGCTGGTAGCAGTGCGAAAATCCAAAGCGTCACAACCGACACTAAAAGGACGATCGGGGTCTGATAACGACGATATTGGTGCATAATGGAGGGTCTCTTAAATTCTGGCAAAAGCCTCCCGATGTTCGGTCCCAACACCAATCCCCTTTCTAAGGAGATGAGACAATGGCCGTGCCATTTCCACATAATTCGCGCTATACTTGTGCAAGTTGTTGGCGAGGCCAAGCCACTTGCGCAAGCTCTTTTGGCTTTTTGGAACCGGCCAGTCCACAATTGCCTTGACCTTAGCGGAATCCGCTCAAAAGCCACGCTTCCCAACGAATCACCATAAAAAGTGAATTTCTTCCGCGCCGAAAATGTACTTACCGGCTTTTGCATACAGCTTATTCGTGCGCATGTACTCGAGCACCGCTCTTAAATAGACGATGCGGTTTTATCATCTGTCCTCCCGTGCATCGCACAACTGTGAACGAAGATGTTGTCAAAAATATCTGTGCATACGACCCGGCGGGGCCTAAACAACTGCGTCAAAAGACCATAAAATGTTAATGGTGCATTTGACAGTCCTTGTCGCATCACCAGCCTCTCCCAGCGCACCCCGCTCCGAAAACTCACCGCTGCCAGCGGAATATCACTCCCTCCCATGAGCAATTGGTAACAACTATCGACCAAGTCAAGTGCGCTGTACTTTGTAGAGCTAACCACATTGCTCTGAAGAACTCCTTTCTAGGAATTGGCGTTTGTGCCGAAATGATGGCCTCGTGCTTCGCACGGAAAAAGGCGTCAATGACGTCACACTGCTCTTTGGGCCGGGGTCATTGACGTGTCACGCAGTATCTGGTTCCCGAAGCCAGGCCAATCTCATGACGCACACCTCGGTCCGGAGGTAGGACCGTCGGCGGGTTTTTGGAGACAACGTCTTGGAATTCCTTTACCAAAGCATAATATGAATCCAAAGGATCCTTTGGGATCGACGATACACACGGATCACTTCGTGCATTGTGCACTCTCTGAGTGTCCTCTTGGACAGCTTCATCCGGCGCAGTAACGCAAGTCCCCTTTACTAAGTGAACAGTTACGGTGTAACCCGATCGCGCTTCAGCATACAGCTGACTTCATTCGATCGTGGAGCGTCGAGCATATTGCCTGACGCACCAGAATCAACAAGGATTTTCCATGGATCATCAAAGCTTTTTACAATCGCTTCTACGATCAGCTAGCCTGGCTTACACACACGTTCTGTGTTCAAGATCACGCAGCTCATTGGGGCTGGGCCCTGGTGCCCTCTACCTCTTTGAGGCTCAACAGAACTCAGTTCTCCCTCAGTAGGGCGTCCCGCGCCTAATGGGTGGTCTTGTTTTCTTGCGTCAAACTGGACTGGTTAGAAGTAGAAAGTCGATTCGCCTAACATTTACGCACCTTGCGCAAGGGACAACCCGTCCGAAGGTGACGGGTGTCTCCACAGACATAACACCTTTAATCGCTGGCAGCAAATCGGAGCTCTGCCCTCTCTCCGCATACCTGAGGTCCATCAGCTCGTGCCCGCTTAACGAGCTATGAGAATGTGCATTTCAACGAATCCGTGCCTATTTTTAAGTTAATTCGGCACTTAATGCCACATTCACCTCTTCTTCAAAAGAAGACGGGTGCACACGAAAAACTCTGGCCACGCCAGTGCGGAGGTTCTCCTTGAAGACGGTGACTGCGACCGCCTCGGGGAGAATATCTGCTGCCATCCCAGCGATAAGAGTTCTCAAGTCTTGGACAAAGTCCACCAACTTCTTCTTGCTCTGTTGTGCAGCAAGGAGACGCGATCTCACGCGATACGCCTGATTAGGCAGCGAGAGCACTCGCAGAAGCTGACGCGTCTGCTCATTCCAAAAGGGGAACGCAGCATCAACCGAAGCGCCGCACGTTAGTGCCCAATCTCGCGCTCGACCCCCGAGCTTGGAGATAGCTAGCGCCAAGCGCTGCTGCTTACTCTGGAGCATGGCGGATCACAAAGCTATCTCGGCCTCTCTCATCCACAGAAGAAGATTCTCTTCATCCTTACCCTTAAAGGTCTTAACGTTCACCATAAGCGGCCTGGGTCGAAAGTAATCATCCGTCGTCGATGTTGGCGTCATAGACGCTGTCGACGCTGACAACTGCAGTAAGTGCTCTAGCAGAGCATTTTCATAGTTTGAAAACGCATTCATGCGCGCGCTTATGGCCTCGGGCTCTTGTACAACGAGGTTGCTCCACGTCTCAGGGCCCAGTAGGGACATCAGCTTATTATGCCCGTCCTGCGTG